GCTCACCATCAGTGCAGCAGTGAGGAGCACGGCCTGTTTTTCATTAGTGAAGCACAACATCTCCTCCTCTCAGGAGTGACGGAACAACTTTTTCACACTCTGTTGCAGCAGTGACAGACCTTACCTGTGGGATCATCAGTGGGTTACTGCTGGTCTCCAGGCTTCAGCAGGTGAGCTCCAGTTGATCTTGTGGCGTCACTTCCAGACGTTACCGCAGGCACACAGGAGGAGAAACAGCAGAGACAGGGATTTACCAGCCCACAACAGTTCCCAATCTTTGTGCAGACACTGCTTTCTTTTCTGTTCAGCGTGAGCTTTTGCTCCAAGTTACTACGAGCTGTCCCAGTGGGTTGGCCATTCCTACCTTAGCACATCGTATACCTGTCAGTATGGGCAGGGGGATTAAAGCAGTGTATGGGAACTGCTGAGTCACGGCCTGAACCTCTGATTGATCACCTGAGGAGAGCCAGGAATCAGCCAGAGGAGCACAGGTGAAGGCAATTCAGCTGTGCTCCTAGACCTATTTAAGAGCTGGCTACCAGAGGGGAAGGATCTCTTCTGGAGATCACCTCTACTGGTGTTTTGTGGTGAGCTCAGCTGAAGGGTAAGCTCTTCCACTAATTCTCTTTTGTGATCGTTGCCTAACTCTCTTGATTATATTGTGATTATAACATCTTGATATCTATTGATTATACAAGCAGTAAAGGGCTAAATCAAGCTTGCATAAGCTTACACAGTGTTTTTTAACACAGTTTTTTAAACAGCACTTTTAAGGTAGTTTGATAGCAAACGATCCCATTTGCAGGTAATAAACATAACTTCTTGTGACCTCTTGAGGGGTCGACTGCTTTGACTTTGCTGTACTTACTGTGGTTTCAGATGTTTCTTCTCAAAACAAGTTGACTTGCAAAAAAAGAAGAGCCTCTCCCTATTTCTGAAGCTCTGCATTTGCTGTCCTGCTCCCAGGACCAGGTTCAGCAATGTTCACACTGCATGCCCATACCAGTGCTCAGGCAGCATGCCCACCTCACTCAAAGCACGCCTCAAGCTCCCCAACCATTCATCTCTGAAACACTCAGGGCATTTTTGAGCCATGCTCAAAGGAGGACAGTATGGAGACTGGCTCTGCAAGCGCGAGCTCAGAACCACGGATGGACTCTGCATATTTATAGCAGGGCTGGCTAAACCAAAATAGTTATCCCAAAAGCAAAGCATGCTATATATACCCACACACAAGTGACTTGTTCATTTGAAGTTGGCAGTGCAGAGACAAGATGTCTGCCCTATGGCAGGTCTGGAAGCCAAGATCACATGGACAAGGCCATTAGGAAAGCCACATTTCTCTGACCCTCAATTCTGGGCTGTGCATGCCCATCACCAGCTAAATCACACCATAACCTCACTTGTGATTGTGAGCTCTGGTTAGCTGGACAAATGGCTTTCAGCACAGCCCTGAGCCATAAAGTCACTAACCCTGTGGCTCAGGACGACAGCAGAATTCAGGTGCTATCAAACAGATAGCTGTATAAAAGCACTCAAGCTGAAGCTAAGCATTTAACATTTCCTAAGCAACTGATAATTTATAAGCAACATGAGGTCTTCCCTCTGTTTCAGCGACTCTTAGGATGGAGGTGAGACCCCTGCGTTGGGCAGCACACTGATGGCAGACAGAGAGGACCAGCGAAGGGAAGCAGGAGACAGAAACTAAGGAGAAAAAGCAGCCCTCCCTATGGGCAGGCAGCAGGCAAGTTTCTAGTCTTGTTTTCAAACCTCCAGGCAGCGCCCTTAGTTCTGGATGCTGATTTTTCAATCCTGCAGCTCCTCCTTAAAGTCGAGGTGATTTGTGCTGCTCGTATTGATGAGCTAATATTTCCTTGCAGCAGTCAGAGTCAGGAGGAACCAGCACACACCACTGAAAAGGAGCCCTCCAGAAGCTCCAGAGGCACTCCAGACAGGTCAGTGTCCTTGCACAACTTTTACTCAGAGAAACAGGCACAGAGAAACAACCTGCAGCAGTCAGAGCCAGAAAGAAGAGATTATTGGAGTTATTCTTGCCCGGTGGCTGTAGAGTTTTACTTTGACCTGTGCCCTACTGAAATGTCACAAGGTCCTCCGAGGAGAAAGGTTGAGAGCAGTGCAGGAAGGTCTGCGAGTGGTTTTTGAGGTGTTCAGGTCACCCAATGCTGGGCTGGAATATTCGATTCCTATCACTCCCAGGGCATCGTCACATCAGGCAAGCATAAAACTGAAGGCAATCCCCATTCTTGGGTAAACTAGCAATGCTTAGTCTCAGCCAGAGAAGCTTATTTTGGGTATGAGCAGTCGAGCAAGATGCATCACAGCAGAGAAGCTCGGCCATTTCTTTGGAGCAACTGGAGAAAAACTGGTGGTTTGGGTGTAGCTCTGGCTGCAGCCACTCATCCATCTGTCCTGCCACTGCCTACTGTCTGTTGGCTTCCTGGTGCAGAAATGAGATTAAACTGAAACCATGGATGAGCGATGCCCTCTAGTGGGTTTGGCTCACCGGGAGCTGGAGGAAGCCCCATCCATGATGTACCCACCCAAGGGACACATCCCTGGGCTGCCCGGGACTGTCTCCACCAGCCAGTGCTTAAGGCACTGCCTTCTATCAAAGCTCTCAGCAAAAGCATCCGCCTCATCTCAGGCACATCCTCAAGCAGGGAATATAACTCCAAAAATCCAAATGAACATTGATGGTGTTTCCCAGGCCAGTATTTTGAATATATGGATACAAACAAGTTTTTCTGGAGCCATTGGATTTTCATTTGTGATGAGAAACATCCTGCAGCATTCCCAGCTTAAGGTATCGATACCCCCTGCACCTCAGTGTTTCCCAAACCCTGGGAAAGGGTTTCAAAGCCCTCCTCTGTACCACTGTAACCATTCACTGTTCACCTAAAGCCCTGAAAAAAGAACAATACCATAAGAGTGCTGGTTTCCCACCTGCTGCAGACAAGGAACTGGAAGCCATTTCTGTGCTGAGAAAATTACACCAACCTCAGATGGTCTGTGATTTCCCAGGGTTGTTAGGTATCTTCTTCAAAGGCTTCCCAGATCTGTTCTGGCTTGGGTAGAGCCCATGAGAAGGAGCCTGGGTAGGAGAGGCTCTTCTGCCTTATGAAAAAGCAGCTTTGTTCAGGGTGCACAGGAGCATAAGTGAGCCAGTTTAGGGAGGATGTGTCCCCAAACAAAAGGAATTCCCTGTCATTTGGCTAGCAAGGCAACACAACTCAGGCAGGCTTACAAAACTGATTCAAATCAGTGGGGGATTTCCTCCCATGTGACTTCTGTGACGTGGATGTCTGTAAATGGTGTTTCAGTACACATATGAGAAGTAACAGAGCCCCATCAGTCAGACCTTGGAGATCACAAGACGTGCTCTTCATTGCACAACAGGGATAAGTGTTCTTGATCTGGCTTTTAGAATCATAGAATCTATTTGAGTTGGAAAAGACCCTGAAAGGCTACCTGGTCCAACTGCCAAGCAGGGAACAGGAACACCTATAGCTCCACAAGGTGCTCAGAGCCCTGTCCAGTCTGACCTTAAGTGTCTGCAGGGATGGGGCATCCCCTGCCTCTCTGGAGAACCTGTGCCAGTGCTTCACTACCCTCACTGTAAAATACTTTTTCCTTATATCCAATCTAAATCTCTCTTTTTTTTTATGTTTATTTCCCCTCATCCTTTCCCTTTAGGACTCTTTCTTTCTCCCTGCTCCCTGATGCCATTAGGACTAGGCTTTGTTGCGCTCCCAGAAAGATTTAGGAGCTGCTGCTTGAAAGAAAGGTACTAAATATCATGAGGCTAGTGCTAGAAATACAAAAGCTATCTTCATTTAGGTTGTTAATGATCTACAGATCTCCCTGTTCTTGCCCCTGATGGGCTATCCCAATGCATTAACACATTGTGCTTCTTCCCCTGACTATGTGAGCATTTGAACAAGAGCCTCCTACAAAGCACCCAGCCACCTGTGCTAACTATAGCTATTAGTTTAATTGAAAAGCAGGAGAAGCCCAAGTGCTCAGGTTTTTTCCTCTTTGTCTGCCCCTTGCTGGCTTGTCTGCTGAAGCCCTTTGCAGAAGAAGTGGGTGTGCTGCTTCCCACCAGCTCCAAAAAAACAATGCGCTTTGGCAGCCCCGGGTCTGAGTTATCAGAACCTACATCCTGGCACGAGACCGAAGGAAGCCTAACCCACGTCAGCAGAAACTGCTGCGCTGTAACAGCCTGCTCCAGCCTGCCCTGTACCCAGCCCTCAATCTCTGCTGCAGGATGCCACAAAACAGCCACGGAACTGAGTGACAGTGCAGAGGGCAGGGTTTACATCCCAGCCTCTCCCTACCAGCAGGAGGGTTTAAGGTTCACCAGCTCACTTGTCAACTTTGGCACCATTTTCCGGGAGCTGCCGGCGTGCCTTGCCTGAGTTTCGCTTTTCTTTTCCTGCAACAAGGAGGCAGCCAGGGAGGTCGAACGAGGCTGTTATCATCTGTTGAGGCCGTTCCCATCCTCTGCGACCCCCGTGTAGGAAGAAAGCAAGGCTGCGTACAGGTAACTCTTTCCTCTGCCTTGTACGGCTGCACCCACCTCTTCTCAGCTACCTGTCCCCCCCAGACCCATGGGAGTTGCCTTCTGAAGCAGCCCCTGATCTTAGCCATAAAGGCAGCCCACTCTCTGAATCCCCAGCCAGTGCAGGGGTCTCTGCTTGCTGCTAGCTTATTTCTGTCCATCTGGGTCATTAATGACCTCAGCTCAGAGGAGATTGCATTGAGAAATCGGCACTACGTCTCTCCAGCGCTGTTTGCACACGGAAGTGTTTGTGCAGCTCAGGTTTTTGTGCCTCCTGGTAAACTTTGCTTAAGACTGCTTGTACACCAAGTGACTGCCACTGAGCTGAACGTCAGCAGTAGGAAAGTGGGGAGGCAGTTTGCTAGCACCATCTGGGGTAAAAAGACCTCATGGGCCGAACTTGCAGGGCTGGGCACTGCAGAATTACAGCGCGTGGGCAGAAGCACAGATTCACAGAATTGTTGGAGTTGGAAGGGACCTCTAAAAGCCATCCAGTCCAATTCCCCTGCAATGAACAGGGACAGCTACAGCTCCATCAGGTGCTCAGAGCCCCAAGCCCAGCCTGTAATATTGGGGTCCTGCTTTTCCTAAGGAGCTTCTACATCTCTACAGAAGGTCAGCAAGCATCTCGCACGGTTTTTGTGTCTTTTAGTTTAGAGCTTCTGGTTTGGAGAGACTCAGCTTTATGTGCTGCTGGGCAGGGCCAAGGTTTGGAGACCCTTATGGGGCATTTCCAACTCAGGATATTCCGACTTATGATTCTATTTGTTTTGCTTTCTTGCTGTTCTCCTCGGATGAAAAAGGAGGTGAACCCCCTGCATCTTCTCAAGACGAAAAAGAAATTGTTTGGCAAAGCTTCCTGTCCTCAATAGCTGTTTGCTTGTAGGAGAAGTTTGAAAGGAAATTTTCCTGCAATTGCAGTAATTGTTGAGTGAGTTTTATTCAAGTATCAATGCAATCTTCTGGGGTTAAATTGAGATAGCTTCGGGGGCATTTTAAGAAGCAGCAGTATGAAATGAGAAACAGAGCTCATATACAGACGAAATTCATGCAGCTTCTTGTGAAGACAGCCTGCATTGATTATGGGGGCAAACAGGTGAGGCACAGAGAAAAATTAAAGGCCTGAAGCCTGCCAGACTGCAGGGGAGAGACTGAAATGAAGGGACAGGCAGCATGCAGAAACAAGGGGCTTTTGTAAGAAGAGGGAGACACAGGGCTGAGAGAAGGGTGTGGGGTGTGAACCCACTGCTCAGAGCCTGAGTTAGATTATCCCAGTGTAACTTTTAACCCAATCCCTCAATAAGTGCACAATATCAGCGTAAGGTATCCCAAGAAGGGGTGCTCAATAGCAAGGCACACTCCTAATTTATGTTTCTCTGTCAGCAGCTCTCCCCAGCATGTCCTTAAAGAACATTTCTGCATCTTCAAGGAGATGCATGCAAACAAATCTCCTTGTCCACATGCAAGCACGCCTCTTGCATCAGGTTTCTTCTTAAAGATTTCCACTCTCTGATCACAGCTGACAGTCCAAGGCAATGGCAGGTACACTGGGCTATTATGTTTAATTCAGCCTATTTTGAAGCCAAACCACGCTCACCCAACTGCCACTGGTAGCGAATTCATGCTGGTGGACCTGGGATCACTGCTGACACATTCTGATGGAGCCGATTTCCTTGCAGGACATGGCGCAGACAGTGGTGCCAGGCAGCTCCCCGGGGGATAACCGTCCCACCTACATCTACAAGATGGTCCTGCTGGGAAACACATCAGTGGGAAAGTCAAGCCTTGCCTACAGATATGTGAAAAATGACTTCAAGGAGTCGCTGCCTACTGTAGGATGTGAGTGAGCTGCTTCGATCCATTTCCTTCTGCCTTGTGCTGTAAGCAAAGCCACATCCAAACCACAGAGGCTCAATTTACTTCTGCTTGTTGGAGGCAGCTTAGCAGCAAAGTGAGGGAACCTGGGTTCCAAATCATACAGTCCCATCTGCCTTTTACATGTTTGGTCCCCTACACCTGTTTGGACACCTACACCTGTTTGGACACCTCAGAAGCATCTGCTCGAGGTTCTTCACCCAGGTGTGAGTCCAGGAGCACAGTGGGGCAAACCTCTTTCCCGCTGTTCTGCTCTGCCCAACCATGCTGAACAACCCCAGGCAGGGCACACATCAAAACTTGTGTGTCCACCCAAAGCTGCCAAAAAGAAGGGCCACCAGCCCTGCTTGGTGACATGCTGTCCCTTCAAGTGTTACTGCATAATCAGTGAATATTAAGATGTTATAATTACAAAATAAACAAGAGAGTTAGGCAAAGCAGATGATGATAACAAAAAGAGAAGAGATAGAAAGCTCACCTGTGTCCTGAGCTCACTTACAAAACTCCAGCAGAGCAGATCTCCAGAAGAAATCCTTCCCTCCTGGTAGCCAGCTCTTAAATAGGTCTAGGAGCATGGGTGAATTGCCTTCACCTGTGCTCCTCTGGCTGACTCATGGCTCACTTCAGGTGATCAATCAGAGGTTCAGGCCGTGACTGAGCAGCTCGCATACAGTTGCCCACCACCAGTCCATGGCCATGCTGTGAAACTCTTCAGGTTCAGATAGCTCTATTGGACATTGCTGTGATCTCCTACCCTGTTGTCATTCACAGCAGCTACAACAGCAGTGGTGTTGTACAGCATGCATACATCAAAGCAGACATCTCCACACCAAACTCTACACAGCACCATGTGAGCTGATTGGCTCAGGGTGCCTTTAAGAAAAACCCATCCAGTTTTGTGCATTGCAGCATTGTCAGCACCCCTCAAAGCGGCTTTGGTCCTACAGCAGCAGACCAGAGCCCTCTACCACATATCTTGCAGGCTCCTTCTTCACACAGACAATCCAACTAGAGACAGCCACCATCAAGCTGGAGATCTGGGACACGGCTGGCCAAGAGAAGTACCACAGTGTCTGCCACCTCTACTACCGTGGTGCCCACGCTGCACTCCTTGTTTATGACCTCACTAATAAGGTGAGATGGTGGATGCACATCCTGTCCACATGAAAACATTGCTGTGTGGCAGTGGAGCTGGTGGGACAGGCATCCAGATGTGTCCCTGATAAAGCAGAAGGGATCACAAACTCTAGGCAAATAAGTGTCCCACTGGGATGCATCAGCAACCGCAGAGCCCAGGGGCTCCTATCAAAGTTTCCTGTATCTGCATCAGGAGTGGCTATCTCTTTTCCCCAGGAAACATTCAACAGAGCGAAGCAGTGGCTGGTGGAACTGGAGAAGGAGTTCCTTCCTGATGAAATTGTCATTGCTTTGGTGGGCAACAAGACAGACCTGGCTGATGAACGGGAGATTGCAGCTGAGGTGAGCACACACCACGTCCCCTTTGCAAGCATTAAGACACATCTTAGCAGAGCCTTTTCTTCCCAAGTGGCATCCCTCTTGCTGCCAGCTGGTCTCCCCATTGCTGAGTGGCATGCAGGAGCCCTGCCTTGTCCCCATGGGTCCCCAAGGCTACACTGTCCCTTGGCACAGGGGAAACAATACTGCTCTTCTCCTCCTAGGATGGGGAAGAGTTTGCAAGGAGCAGAAGCCTGCTCTTCATGGAGACGTCTGCAAAATCCAACCACCAAGTAAACGACATCTTTATGGCAGTAGGTAAGGTGTGGGGTGGCTCCAATTGAGAACCAAAGTGGGGGAACCATGGGTCCTGGCTCCCCCAAACCTCCTGTGCAACATGAGACACAGCAGAGCTGCTCTGTCCCCAGTCTGATGCCACATCCTCACACTGGGAACCAGTGTGAGTGCTCTGCTCTACCTCTTGCTATAAGAAGAATATTTAGAGAAGACAATGGGCTCTTCTTGCCTATGCTTCCAGGCTACAGATGGCTTCTCCCCAAAGCCCAGCTGGCCAGCAAGAGCTGCTTTGCAGCTTGTGTCCCTCCTGCCAGGTTGGAGGAGGCAGTGGCTGTGGTGGCACAGCACCACATTACCTAGGACAGACAACTCCATGCCAAGATGCAGCATTAGAGGTGCAGAGATCAAAGCCACTATGTTTTTTGGGTTAAGTACCCGACCTGGGTATACATACCTGACCTGACCTGTGGCCCCAGCACATCTGTCCTTCAAATGACATCACCACGCTGGCTAGAAGTTGCTGGGAAGTACCAACATGGTGGCAAATAGGGTGGGACAGAGCAGCAGGTGCATCCCAACATGCATTGGCTGACCCCATGCCCTGACAAGAGAGGTGATGCTCTGTGGCTCTGTGCTCCCCGTCAGCCCGAGAGCTCCTGCGGCGTGAAGGTGAGAAGGCAGCTGTCCCATCCACGAGTGGCAGGCAGCGTTTGGACCTGCGGGCAAGCGGGACGAGGAGGGGGTGCTGCCATGTCTGAGGGGCCACGGGCTCCTCACAGGACGTGGGGCTGGACCTTGTGCTGTTGGCATCGGTGGCCGAGGGGTGACAACACAGGATAGCTCACAGCCAATGTGGAGCAATGATCCTTCTGCCCATCTTCTGCCAGTGAATGCATGCAGACCCTCAACAGGATCTCGTGATGGTGTTCTCCAGAAGTGAGTGGGGAAGTCCACTGTCAAGAAGCAGCCCGGCTGGGGACATCCCCCTGCCCCAGCCGTGCACCAGCTTCCCCAGACTCAAGAGAGTTTGGCTTGTGGAGCCCATCCCAACAACTTCAAGACTTGACTGCCAATAAAAAGCAGCTCATCTTAGCCACATCCTTTTCTCTGCCCTGGGTGCCAATATGCAGGAGGTCTGGAGATGGTGAGGACCAGAGCGTGGCAATGTAGTCCTCATCAGACGCTCCAGCTGTCAAGAACTTCTGGTTCCTATGGCCAGGAAGCTTCCCCCTCCTGCCCCCATACACCACCACCCTCTGTGACACCTGCCCAGCACTGAGATGGGTGTGGGATGGGGGAATCCTTCCCAGCTGCTTCCTCCTCCTGCCTAAATCCCCGTTGTTAGTTAGGCAGCTAATTTGATAGCAGCTAATTGCCACTTGCCTCATTCCTCCCAGATTAACCCTTTCTTCCCTAGGCAGTCCTGATCCCTGCTATCCATCCTTAGCTTGCATTTGGGATCCACATCATCCTCACTGCAAACTGGGGAATGGGTAAAGCAATGGAGATTTGTGAAAGGGGTGTCACAGAGTGAGTGAAGCCCTCCAACCTATGCCATGAAAACAGTGGCTCTGTAGTGATGTGGGGGGCTTGGTGCTCTCAGGGGTGTTGACACTGTGGGGATCCCATAGGATTCTCTTGCAGAAAGACAGGAGAGCCCCCAGGGCTTAATTTTAGGTGATACCACCATCACTAGAGCTCATGTCCTGTCCCACCCCAACTCCCCCCCCCCCAAGCACTGGGTTTTGGAGCAGAGAGTCAGGGCCAGGTAGGAGGAGAGGAAAAAAGGCTTTTATTGGCATCCCGCATCTTCAACTCAGGCACTTTGCTGCTCCTGGGGGGGCTGGGTGTGCGGGGGGATGCAGGCAGGATGCAGGACAGCCTCCCTGGGTTGGGCACTTTCCCCAAGTGCTCGCCGTCGCCCGAATCGCCCCACGGGCCTTATGCCACGGCCGGTGTACCAGAAGGGGTCGATGTCTGGGTCTGCAAAGAGAGAGACGGGAAACAGTCGGTGCAGTGATGCACAGCGCGTGGGGAAGAAAGAACGGGACCGAGGGGAGAGAGGAGTGCTCGGGACTGCCTGCCGGGCTGCTGCAAAGCGACACCGCTCGAACCTATGGGGGGACCAAGGAGGGTCCTGGGGGTTCCCTTACTCCTGCTCTCCTTACTCCTGATTTCCATGGAGTGCACACGGAGGCGGCCGGCGGCGGGCAGGGCCATGCAGGCGAGCAGCAAGCACAGCAGGCAGGTGGCCCCCAGCTTCATCCCCGAGGCTCTCCCACGACAGCGGCTCGGCAAACGGCGACAATCCCAACCTGCGGGCACATATACAGAGCAATCGCGTTCTGAGGGCGTCAAGAAGCCCGCGGCTTCCTTTGGCTGGACCCTGATGGGGCTGGTAGAGAAATGATAGAGAAAGCGCGTCCCTGCCGCGGGAACGCCATCGGGGAACGCCATGGGGGAAAGCCAGCCCCATCCGGATCCCATCGCAGCATCCCGAGACCGGCGGCAGGCTCAATCCCAGGAGGTGGGAGGAGATGAAGTTTGCAGCAGCCCCACCTGCAGCCGAAGCCGTCGGTTCGGGGAAGCAGCCGTGAGAGCCCTCGCCGCGCGCCCTTCGCCCCGCGCTTACCTCGGTCCCGCAGCGCCCGGTGCCGTCCCGCGGAGCCCAGCGCTCTCCCTGTGCGCCCCGGGGCGCCGCTCGCCGCTTTTATGCCCGGTTCCGTGCTGATGTCAGAAACGAGCCCCGGCGGGGACAGAGCCGAGGCATCTCCCCTCCCCGCCGCCCCCCGCGCTCGCTCTCGTCAAATCAGGAAAAGGATTTTCGTGACTCATAGAGGGCCATAATTTTATCTCCAGCCGGCCGAGGCACATCGTTCGGGAGCGTTCTGATCTCCGTCCTCGACGTGACGCGGTTCGGGACGAGGGGGGAAGAATTCCACCCGTACTGGGGGCGGGAGGGGTCGGGAGAGACGCGGTCCCTGCCCGGACGAGCAGGCGCACGGCCGCCTCCAAGCATCCCCTGCTCCGTGGGGCTGGAGCAGCAGCTGGGTACCCCTGACCGTGCTCACCCCGAGCAGTGCTGCATTGCTTTTCATGCTGCCCTCCAGCGAGGGGGCACAGCGGGGACAGCCGACCCCATATGGCCAAGTGCAATGGGCTGTGTGGGGCCAGGGTTTAACCACGGCACCGGGGCAAAAGAGAGGGCGGGGAGACAAAGCATCATTAGCTGCAGCATGTTGAAGGACGACACTGTGAAATAAACCTCTGGGTTCTGGACCCTATGTCAGTTTTATTGTGTGATGCAGTGTGCATACATAACCTCTACACAGAGCAGTAAATGTTAAAGCTACAACCTGAACGATGCCTTATTTGTACGCTGCTGAGACTTACAAGGAGGGCTCCAGAGGGTCAAGAGTCTGCCTGACCACCTGAAAGGACTTGGCTTACTGCTGGAATTGAGTACAGCGAGAGGCGTGTGGGTGAGGGCTGAACCATGGCACCAGAGCAAACCCACAGCATTGCTCAGAGCTCAGTGGAGCACTGCAGGGAGTTGTGCTCAGCTGCTGCAAACCAGCATGGTGCAGAGCCTCCATGGATGCTCCTGGGAGAGGGGGACGTGTGCGTGCATACATGTACACCACGAACTGCTTACAAGCTGGGGAGGGTAAAAGCAGTCACACTGCCATGAGTGTAACTCTTTCCACTTTTTCAACTTCAGGCCAGAAGGATTTCACTTTAAAGAAGGAAAACTGATAGGTAAGTTTCCAGCCTCACAGGACTGCTCTGGGATGACTGCAGGACTAATGTCTAAATAGTGAGTTCTCTGCTACGACCAAAGCTAAACCTTGTGAATTCATGCTAAAAGTAAAAGCAGAGACGGAGCTGAAGTTTTTAACAAAAATCTCCCCCTATCCCCCCTGTCTTCAGTTAGTGGAAGCAGAAAACAGCCAGCCTCAGAGAGTGGGAGGGTGCTCAGGGCCAGTGCAGCCTCCAGGGGACAAAGGCACACCTCCAGGGGACCTTTCTGCAGACTGGAGAGAGCTTGGTGCTGGTTTCCTTCTGAGCCTGCTGATGGAACCTTGCAGGGAGAGAAGGCACCTTTGGTCAGACTGACCCCAAGCCATCTTCCTACTGGTGCAGTGAAAGCTGCTGCCTCTTCCCACAAGCCTCACCTCACTCCTGCCCCCACATGAGCCCAGCTGCTTCAGGCAAGAAGCCTCAGTGTGTACCTACTGGGTTTAGTGCAAAGAGTCATTGGCCAAGAGCTTGCTAGGAGCAACACAGTGCAGCTCCCGTGCAGGGAAAGGAAGTGATGCCCCAGAGATGAGGCAGGACCAGTGCTGGGCTGCACATCAGGCCCCGGGACACTGTGCTTTACCGTAGGGACCCTTCCTCTGGCATCACCACCAATGGTTCTCACAGTGTCCCTAGTGGAAGGGACAAGGAGACCAGCATCCTGCCCAAACAGATGTTGTCCACGTGATTATCCGGCCATGTGTCTGCACTCCTGCAACTTGTTCCTCTCTCTTCCAGCTTCCAGGGGGATGTGGCCATGGGAGAAGGAGGGGCAAGCACTGGGGGAAGGCTGGGTGCTGAAGTCCCACACTGTCACTGAAATGCAGTGGCGGGTGGGCATCCCCTCTTCAGGACAAGTGAGTCATCACCGGCTTCTGCAAGGCACAAGAGGCAAGGCATCAGCACCGCTGTCCCCTGTGACACGGACAGCATATTCCCTGTCCCTCCTGGGGCTCTGTGGGTTGGAGGGGAGCACTGGAGGATGGGGTACCACTGCCAGCCTGGCCACGTACCGCAAAGAGACGCTCCACTCTCCTGTTCTTCCCATTGGGGTTCCTCTGCGTCAGCGAGCCGCGGTAAACCGAGTTGCGGTCAAAGGAGTCATCGAAGCCTGTAATGGAAGAAGAGGCATGAGGTGAGGCTGGGTAGTGCTCCAGCTCATGCAGAGGGGATTAGGCTCTCCCAGTGATGTCCGGCTTGATGGAGCATCTCTCTATCTTCTTTGCAGGACTGACGTGTCCTTGAGGCTGCCTTTATGTGCCTGCCCATTGCCTTAGGAGAGCGGATGACCGAGGAGACCTTTACATCTACCAGCCTGTGCCTGGGAAGCAGAGCTTTTAATTGTCTCATATGGGGAAACGCAATTCCTTCTTTGCATTAAGTGATCTTTCCCCTCCTTTCCTCCACTCATCTTCTATTTGGCGTTATCTGGAAGGAGAGCCATTCCTTCTGCCTGTAAGCGTATGAGGCCAGATAACGGAAATAGAAAAGTCATTTCCTAATGGCATTTGCTGATATCTGTCAGGATGAAACTTTTCCTGTGATTGCCCTCTGCCACATGGGCTGCTGGGCTGAGTTTCAGGTCGTGTGGCCTACTTCGAAGCACTCCCAAGTTGCCATTTTCCATAGCTTGGCTCTCAACGTCCCAGTGGGACCAGTGGCAGAGATGGGCAAATAGCAGGGCAAAGGATACCCTCCCCAGGGGAATCAGTGAGAAGAAATGGCTAAGGAAAGAAGCTTAGGTGGAGTGTTAAGGACTAGTTTTGAAGGCAGAGCCACTAGGGTGGTAGAAGCCTGCACTGCAGAGCAGTGGCCCTTGGGGCAGGCAGTTGTCTGCCACCAAGACCTGTATGGCAGCCACCTCACCCTGTCCCCAGCACTGACCCTGATCCTCCACTACAGATGAGGTCTCCTCTGTAGCTGTGCTGGCAGGACACAAGCACAGGGAACAGCATTCCAAAAAGGGAGAAAATAGGAAGAGAGAGATAGAAATGACCGAGCATCTCAGGAGCTGAGGTCATCCCACAGACAAAGCCGCAGCTCTTACCAGTGATTTCAAAGGGACTGTTGAACCTCCTCCTGAGGACCTGGGGCCCAGACATTGCCTGCAAGAGAGGGAAAGCAGTCTGTGGTGGGTAGGAAGACACAGGTGCATCCAGAGGATGCCCTCCTGCCCTTGCTGAGTACTCAAACCCACATCCTGGAACACAGGATTAAGGCTTATTAAACACATGCTAGACACCTACCCACCTTAACATCATCCAAAGACTCCCCTGGACTGCTGGTGGGGGTGG